AATATATCATGGGCATACAGGCTAACTTAATGGAGAAACGACAGCTGAATACAGTAAAATTAATAATGTCATCAGAATTGCCACATTGATATGCAAATCAGGCATTAAGTAATTAAAATGCGCTAATTTGCATACATTTGACACAAGGCATTGTAGATTAATAGGATAAACAAAATAACTAAAGCATATCACCACAGAACTTCCCCAGTTATTAGTTAAAGACTTACATCAAGAGTCTTTTACCTTGAAATGTTGTTTAAATATGCAGATAGCTTGTTTTGGTTAATTTAGAAGAAATCTACAGAAGCAGAGGATGGTAGTAGGCTTAAAACAAACACCTTAATATGTATTTTGGAAATTTCCTTTCCATTAGAGCAAAATAAGACATGGAAGCAAAATAGACCAAAATCTCAAAATTGAACAGTACATGAAGTGTCCTGACTCCTGCCTTAAACAATAAATTCATAATGTTGATCTCAGGCTCCTCATCTAATAACTATCCATTCTATGAATATGTTGTATGCTGATAGATCTTAACAGCCCTCCCTCAAATGTGAAACAAAGTTCTTGCCACCATCAGTTTGAGTGTGTGTGTGTGTGTTTGTGTACCTGTTTTTCTATTCTGGTGGGGACTTAAACCTGAATACACACAGACTCATGGGGACTCGTGTCACGGTGGGGGCCTAAATTGAGGTTTACGGGTAAACAGACTAATAAATCACACAGAATTAAGTTTTTTTTTAGACAAGATTGACTGAAATGATAAACAATAATACTTATTAATAAAACTTATGACTAAAAATGTCTACAGTTTTCAGTGACTAAAAATGCAGCTGACGAAATTAGCATAAATTAATGGAAATGTACAATAAATCTTTGTACAATATATTGTGTTAAATGATGCACATTATTTGATGTTTGTCACATGTAATAAGAGTAGGCCATTTTTGTGGTATAATGCCAGCCTTTTCCACTGGCTACTACAATCAAAAGTATATTTCTTACCTGTGGGAAACTCCGGTGTTTAAATCAAGATTGTAATCTTTTAAAGGGGTCATATGACGTTGCTAAAAAAGAACATTATTTTGTGTATTTGGTGTAATGAAATGTGTTTATGTGGTTTAAAGTTCAAAAAACACATTATTTTCCACATACTGTACATTATTTTTTCTCCTCTATGCCCCGCCTTTCTGAAACGCGTCGATTTTTACAAAGCTCATTTTTCTGAAAAGCGAGGTGTGCTCTGATTGGCCAGCTATCTTGTGTGTTGTGATTGGCCGAATATCTCAAGCGTGTGACGGAAATGTTACACATTACTGCATATCGCGCCGCGTAAACATAAAACCATATCTGCAATTCTGATCGGAGAAAAGACCAACAAGCGCTACTCTACACTGCTCAAAACTCGCGTTTGAATCATCAGTGGCAAATTCTTTAAATATGAAAACATACTTACAGGCTGTGAGTCAGAACAGCCGCCACTGTAGGCTACTGTCCCAGGTTCAGGAAACAGTCCTCTGCAAAATGCGTTGCACACACACGAATATTTGGTTTGAACTGTTCTGGAACAGTGTTGTAAATACAACTTAACCACTGATTTCTAGTTGTGTCCTCTTTTGGCAGCTCAAACAAAGTATTTTCGCTTTCACAATGAAACACAAATCTCCACGACATGGCGGCGGCGGCAGCAAGAATAAAAAAAATTGCGAGAATAAAAGTTATGCCTTCTTTCTTTGCGTGAACATTTGGGCGGCGTTATGCAAATCTTCCCACACAGTGACGTAGACATGTGGGGGCGTGTTTAAATGAGGCGTTTTAGGAGGGCATGGACGAGTCTTAACTTTTATAAAGAAAATCTCTTTGGGTTTGAGACTTTAGTCTTTGCAACTTTAGGGATCTTATCTATTCACGAACAGCTTGTAACACTCCAAAGAGAAAGGAAAACTTGAAATCGCACCATATGACCCCTTTAATGGTTAATCATGCAGCTCTAACCAGAACATATGTGTTTGTGTAAAGACAGGTGCCATCAGGGTCATCATACCTTGCGGGTGGGATGTATTTCCGAGACACACCATCCTGTTTGCTCTCCAAAAAGGTCTCCTAAAATAACACACACACTTTTTTAAAGAATTCTAAATTTTGTATATTCAAGATCACAAATATGTTTGTAATATTAATTACAAAATTAGAAGAGTAAAGTTTGTAAACAGATTTTGGTGTTAGTTTGTCAAAGCCTAGTTTGAAAGTATAAACATTTAAAAAGATTTTTGCTAGGTTGTTCTGGGTGGTGCTAGGCAGTTGCTAAGGTAATCTGAATGGTTGCCAGGGTGTTGCTATGCAGTTGCTAGTGTGTTCTGGGTGGTTGCTAGGCAGTTGCTTGAGTGTTTAGAGTGTTCTCAGGATTCTTTGATTAATAAAATGTTAAAAAGAACAGCATTTATTCAAAATAGAAGCCTTTTGTAAAAATAAATATTTACTATCACTTTTTATCAATTTAACATATCCTTGCTGAATAAAAGTATTCATTTCTTTTGTGGGAAAAAAAAGTACTGACCCCAAAGGGAAACAGTTATTATATTTATAGGGAATTTTGAAGGAATCTCAGTTTTACGGCTGTTCAAATGAATCTGCCAGAAATTAATTGAATGGCTGTAACTAGCATCTATGCACCTGATATTAATATCCAAACATATAGTTAAAACACTATTTATTAGCATGGTAACAAGATTGGCAGTTTAAGAACTTAACTTGTAAGCACAAAACACAAGAAACGAACAAAGACTTACTGTCACTTCCTGTTTGTTGCTGTTTTGAGTTTGAGCTCCGTCAAGTTAATTCCTTATCGTCTAATTTTTATCTTAAAATCAATTTTATACACCATCATTTCCGTTTCTATAACTTTTCTATAATATATCCCCTATCGTATTCTACAACAAAAACAATCAGAGTGCCTTGTTATCACTAGTTTTATTTTGATTTCCCGAGTCCGCTATTAGCTTATAGCCCTTTAGCATCGCCAGCGTGGTTGCCGCTAATCTCGCTTATATTGCTAAAACTCTATTCAAACACATTACCATTGTTTTACTCACTGTTACTTGCTTTAATGGCGGATGTGTGTCTACTTTGAGTGGAGGTGAGGACACGTTCGAGCTGCATTTGGTGCAGTTCGAGCTGGAGGCCGTGGAGAAGCAGATCCGCGACCTGGTGGAGAAGCAGGCCCAGCTGAGGTAGCGGAAAGCTACCTGAGGGACTTAAGATTCCTTCAAAATTCCCTATAAATATAATAACTAATTCCCTTTGTTTCCCTTTGGGGTCAGTACTTTTTTCCCCCAAAATAAATGAATACTCTTATTCAGCAAGGATATGTTAAATTGATAAAAAGTGATAGTAAATATTTATTTTTACAAAAGGCTTCTATTTTGAATAAATACTGTTCTTTTTAACTTTTTATTCATCAAAGAATCATCCCAGGCTGACGCTTACAAGACCGGGGTAAGTATACAGCGCGCTGCTAACACTCCAACTACCTCTACTCTGTATGCTTCTCTGCACAGTCCCCGTGCACCCAGGACGCGATCTTCCCAGATGTCCTTCACTCCGTGCTGCACGCGGGGGTTAACGACACCAAGCTGCGGCAGACGGAAACACTGAAGAGGGACTTCAGGAGCCTGATCGAGACGGTACGCAGCACATCGCCCGCGACGACTGTCATCGTGTCAGGACCACTTCCCACGTATCGATGAGGCCACGAAAGGCTCAGTAGACTTTTTTGCTTTAAACGAATGGTTATTGTCATGGTGTAAAGAACAGAAACTGCTCTTTGTTAATAATTGGAATATTTTCTGGGAGCGACCTAGGCTTTTTCGCGCTGATGGCCTTCACCCCAGCAGAGTTGGAGCAGAACTCCTGTCAGACAACATCTCCAGGACGCTACGCTCCATATGACTAGTAAGCCAATTCTCAAATAACTGCAATGATGGCTTTTGTTCTACCCACTTAAATGATAGAAGTACTTGCGCTGTCCAATCTATAAACAGTGTCTGTTCCCCGAATAGTGAGGTCAAAATATTAATTTAATGCAGGATCTAGAAAAAATCTGATTGTGATTAAACCAGAAAAATGCAAAATAAATGAATAAAAAATTTTTTTTAAAGTTTGGGCTCCTAAACATTACATCACTCGGTGCGAAGCAGTCCAAAGCAGTCATTGTAAATGAAATGATCACAGATAATAGGTTTTATGTACTCTGCTTGACTGAAACCTGGCTAAAACCTAATGATTATATTGGTCTAAATGAGTCTACTCCACCAAGCTACTGTTATAAGCAGGAGCCCCGTCAGACTGGTCGTGGCGGCGGTGTTGCAACAATATATAGTGATATTCTCAATGTTACTCAGAAGACAGGATACAGGTTTAACTCATTCGAAATACTTGTGCTTAATGTTACACTGTCAGATATGCAAAAGAGATCTCTCCTATCTCTTGCTACTCTGTATAGACCGCCAGGGCCATATACAGATTTCCTAAAAGAATTTGGAGATTTCCTCTCAGACCTATTGCTAAATGTTGATAAAGCACTAATTGTCGGAGATTTTAACATTCACGTTGATAATACAAATGATGCATTAGGACTTGCGTTTACTGACCTAATAAACTCTTTTGAAGTCAAGCAAAACGTCACCGGGCCCACTCAACATTTTAATCATACGCTAGATTTAATTATATCGCATGGAATTGATCTTACTGATATAGATATCGTACCTCAAAGTGATGATGTTACTGACCATTTCCTTGTATCGTGCATGCTGCGCATTACTGATATTAACTATATGGCTCCACGTTATCGTCCGGGCAGAACTATTGTTCCAGCCACCAAAGACACATTCACAAATAACCTGCCTGATTTATCTCAACTGCTCTGTGTACCCATAAGTACACATGAACTAGATGAAATGACTAGCAACATGGGCACTATCTCTAATACATTAGAAGCTGTTGCCCCCATCAAATTGAAAAAGGTTAGAGAAAAACTTACTGCGCCATGGTACAACAGTAATACCCATTCTCTCAAGAAAGAAACTTGAAATCTTAAGCTCAAATGGAGAAAAACTAACTTGGAAGTTTTTAGAATTGCGTGGAAAAACAGTATGTCCAGCTATAGACAGTCTTTAAAAGCTGCCAGGGCTATGCAGTGTTGCTTTCGTCAACGAAAATTATGACTACATATCGTCGTCAACGAACCTTTATCACGTGACGAAAACGAGACGAGACGAGACGAAAATGCTGGTCATGTGACGATGACTATAATTAAATGTATAATGCAATATCGTTGACGAATAAAAACGAGACTAAATGTGGTTTACAAAATAAAAACTATGCTAAAATGTCTCTTAATTTTCGTTGACCAAAACGAGACGAAACGAAATGTTATAACGTTATTTCGTCTCGTTTAGTCGCGTTATTATTATTATTATTTTGCAGTATTTCTGTTTCCTGTGTCTCGCTTCAGCGGCATCAGGGCGCACTGCGCAGACGCAGGCCCCACTCGGGGTGCCGCGTCTGTCGAGAGCAGGGGTGCCGTGTAAAAAAATCATTTTTTAATATTTTTAAATTGCTAAAAATTTTCAAAAAAGCAGCTATTATATAGTATATTAGAGATACAATAATTAGAGATGCACTGAAATTCCGGCTGCCGAAAATTAGTTCACCGCTCAGGATTCACTTTCACGTGGTGTGACGCTCTGCGTATTATCCCGCTCTATGCGTGTGCGCTCCGCTCAGTCGCTCACGGCCCATGTGAGTGCTCCACTCATATACCGTTCATGCTCATCGGAACAGCAAAGTCCACTCAGAAATCAAGCTGACAGGAAACATCGATGTAGTACAGTATTGTTTCTGTCTGCAAGAGCCCTACTGTGTTGTAACA